AGTAAGTACCAATTTGTCTATATGGAGAGAGTGAGAGAGAGAGAGAGAGAGAGTAATATAGTATTTTATACAATGATTAAAAAAATATCCAGAATTTTAATGACACAACTATCAAGAACTCTAATGATACAATTGGTTATATCACAGAGATATTTATGAAGTGTTAGTAAATATACTTTGTAATGATCATACAATCATGAAGTTTGACTATATGTTTGGCTAAAGTATCTCTAAGTGTTGAGTAAAGCAAACATTTTGCCAAATTAATTAAAAAAAATTTGCAATACTATTGATGTATTGGAATACAATGAGTATAAATGCTTCTTATGAGAACATCTCTCATCAAAATCAGAATGAAAGAAAATCACTCTTGAATCTACCATAAATAAATAAAAGAACTCATGTATCTATAATATACATTAGGTTCTTATTTAGTTACATTTTCCTATATTTTTGTTGGGATTGTAATATGTTATTTAATTTTTTTTATGTTGCGACATCATCATATTTTTTTTAGATTTGTTGGGGTTGTAATATGTTATTTAAATTTTTTATGTTACGACATCATTATATTATTTTTGAAAAAAAATAATTAAGAGTTTATTTATTCTACATTTTATTTTTTCTTCCTGCAATCATTTTATTTTATTAATTAATTTATCTTACTAAAATTAATCGGCCAAAAACATTCGTCACCATGTGCATCGCACATGCACTTTACTAGTGTAATAATAAAAGCAGGGGATCTAATTATTGGATGGTCATAGTCAATAACACATTTTACCGTACACTAATAATAGGAGCAAATCTCGTACTATCGATAATATCTCATTTTATTGTCAAAATTTCAAATTATATCTGTTTATTAATGCCAAAATTTATTGTCTAAAATATTAGTAGATAATAGTACCTGATTTTTTTTTGGTATTTCTATATTTTTATCTGAGTGTTTTATTTTTTTAATAAATATAATGTTCTACACTTTATTCTAATATACTTATATTTATATTTGATTTCTAATCAAATTTAATATCTATTAAAGTTGTTTTATATATCATTTACATTATAGTAATTAATTTAATTAATATTTATTAAAATTGATAAAATAGCCAATAATACTAATTTAACCCGTTTAATTGTGTGTCGGTGGTTTATTCACTATTTAAATATGAATATACGTAAAGTATTCAAAACACTGATTTCGACTAAACAGTGTAGGGTCGAATTATTACTTATTTCCATTTTGCTTCGTGAAAATTAAGGACAATATTGGTGCAATACTACTGAGAGTCGATTCTAATTAGGTACTGTTAATTATCAATTAAATGTTGTGCATTATTGTATAGTACTGAGAGTTAAAATTGACAGGGTATCTAATGCCCAATAAATATTTTCGAGAGGTACAACTTTTGCAACACAAGTAATTGATCTGTATTTTATTTTTAAATTAATTTGTCAATTACATGCTGCGCAAAGTTAGGTTTGATTATATTTTTGTGTGAAACATAGAAACATAAAACAAAGATTCTTGTACAACAGTGCTTAGTGGTTGTTCATCCACTTATCATTCACTCCAATTTTAATTTATCTTATATTAAAATAAATATTATTATTGTAATCATATCTAAATTAGAATAAGGACGAAAAGAACTGTTCGCATAAGCTCGATTTGGTTCAATTAGTTTCATTCATTTGGTAAACGAGCAAAACTCGAACTTATTTAAGACTCGTTTAGTCAAATTTCACTCATTAACGCTCATTAGAGACTTGATAAATAGAAGTTTTTATTTACGTAATTCTCAAACTTTTTCATATATTGTTTGTTAAGGCTCGAATTCAGTTTGCGTGACTCGTTAACAAATTGAGACTGAGCTTGTTTATCACTTATCAACTTATCAATATAAGGAGTTGAGCTTGACTCGACTAGATAAAAGGCTCGAGCCCAAGTCAAATCACTTACTTAAACTCTCATACTTTCCTCTATATATGTATCAATTCAATTTTGGACGTAGTTTGGTCACTTTGTCACAAATCTACCCAAATCCATCTGCATGAACATTTATTTTATTCAAGTAAATATACCTTGGTAAAAAACTGTGCATATTATCCTATTGAGGTATTTTCAGTATAGTATTAAATTATATAAACAAGAGTGGTATAGAAAAAAATACTTTAAGAATATCAAATAAACTTATATATATTAAAATGTTAGACCTGGAAACATCTAAATGAACTAATGTTTGTATGGGTGAAAAACAATAAAAAATTTAAAAAATTTGAAAAACTGAAATTGGTTTCCCCAAAATCGGGGATAATGTTTGTTTATATATATATAAAAAAAAAATTGAAAATCCTCTACCTATAGCCCCACACGAAAAACTATGGCCGTGTTTGATAAGTCAAATAAGCTAGCTTATAGCATATTTGGTTAGCTTATAAGCTCTCCGTATTCAAAAGCTCGAGCTTATCTCATAAGCTACTTTAGGTAGCTTTTCAAATAATTTAGTTGAATTTTTTATTTCAGCTAGCTTATCGGATAATTTTATCAAACACTTTTACCATATAAGCTAGCTATTCAGCTATAAGTCATAAGCTATAAGCTAGAAGCTAAAAAAACTACAATAAATTATAAACTAATTTATCAGCTAACAGCTACCTTATCAGTTAATTTTATCAAAGATAGTCTATATGTATTACAATCAATCCTCATCCACAACTAAAAAAACCCACATGGATAACGCCTTTTAGAAACAGAGGTAAAATCACGTGCCACAATTCCCACACACTAGCTAGCTACAGCCTACAGCAGTGCACTAAGCTACAGCCTATAGCAGTGCATTAAGCTACAGCACAAAAAACTTGGTCTCAAATTGGACCGGCTGTTCAACTATTTGAACCGGATAACCAGTCTCTACATAATAACTGGTCAAAAAGCGTTCAACACAGTCAAGAACTAGTGGTCTGGTCTTGGTCCTAGCACCGTAGCACGTTAGTTTTGACCCTTAATTTTTTTTTTCGTGATAATTATGAACAAAAGTAGAATTTATTTATTCGTTGAGTTGATGATACATTGAACTTGATTTTTAAACTCTATAAATTACCTTGCTTTTGACACGGACAATTATTGCAGTTCTCATTTGGGACACTAGACAATCTTCTTTTTTATTTTTATTTTTTTTTATTAAAAAAACCGCATACAAACTAATTAAAAATAGAAGATAACAAAATAGGAAGAGAGTCCTTCCAATAATAAAAAGAATGTGAAGAGATCGTCCAATAAGTTATATTATGGACCACCACATTGTCCTTCCGAGAGACATGGCAACACGAGCTGCAGTCTAAAGCCATTAAAAGACCTTTAATATCCATAAACACCTAAAAGAGAGGGTCCAAATCCTTCAAGTTCGCAATGCCGCCAACGACTTCCAAGGAGTCTGTCAACACCGCCTGCACCTTTAAGCCTGAGTCCAGAGCAAAGCGGATACCATGACGAAGTGCTAGCGCTTCTGCTAGTAAAGAACAAAATGGGCCCTCGATGCAAATAGCGAAGGCTGCCTGACAAACACCGTCTTTATCACAAAGCCAGCCATCCAAACTAATTTTGGACTCGTGGACCGATGCATCCCAAAGAAGAGTCCAACCATTAGCACACGTACCTCGATCTTGCCAACTAGAAATAAAATCCCGATAGGGCAAATTTCCAGTACCCAATCGCCCTGATTGAGCATTATCGAACTCTTTTAACCAAGATATCCCAAAATCCCAAACCCATTCCGGACTTCTGGCCTTGAAATTTTTACGGGGCGATTACACTCCTGCCAAACAAGCCACAAGGTAACAACAAAATTTCTAAAATCAGCACCACAATCCCCATTAAGAATAGCCAAAGCTAGGGAGATAAAATCCTGTTTTCGGAGACTAGAGATAACAATCTACCATCCAGCATATTCCCATAACTTCCTTGTCCAATCACATTCGAAGAAAAGATGAGTATTCGCTTCCCAACAACCGCACCGCAAACATCGACCATCCAAAACTATATTTCTTCGAGCGAGATTTTCACTGGATGGGATGGCTGAGTATGATACCTTCCAAACGAAAATCTTTATTTTAGGGGGAAGTCGTAATTTCCAAAGCGCTTACCATCAAGTCATATTTGGATTTAAACTGGACGCCGAAGAATCCCCCTGTAAGCTTTGTAAGCTTTTAAGAAGATGATAGCCACTTCGCACCGAGTATCTTCCGTTCCCCGTAAAATGCCAAATTAATCATATTCATTTATTAATCAAGTAGCAAATAATATATCGTTTAGACTGTAGAATTAATAACAAAAATATGTAACTGCATATCTACCATATAAACTATAGAAAATTAACTTGATTCAACTAGTTAATTTAAAATGTGTTAAAGAGTTTACGTAAAACACTTGCACACTTCGGATTATGACATGATAAAACTTATGTGCTTCTTAATTTTGTTTGTAAAACATTATTGCTTTGGAATTAGAATTTGTATTTACGTAAACATTTTATTTGCAATTTTCCTAAGTATGCATTTAGTTATTTTTATATGTTTTTCTCTTTCCCAAATCAAATCTTACCTTACAAAACTCATATTATGTATTCTCATTCATTTTATTTAATCTATTTTTTCTTATTTGTTATATCAACTTAATCATCGTTTGACGATCTTCGATTTGACATCCATATCACAACATATAATCATGTTTAGAAAGAATTTTACAAAAATTAAAATCAAATTAAGAGAGTTGTAAATAATATTTTATATCATACACATATAATTTTATATATGTAAATTAAAATAAGGGTAAAAACGCCTATCTAAATTAATCAATCAGAACCTAGCGTCCACACATTATATATACTATCGTTGCTAACCCCTTGCAACATATCCCTTTCAGTTTCAAACTCTTTTGGATAAAAATAAACCAATTCCAAAAGAAAAAAGAAAAT